CGTCTCTCCTAAAAATACAAAAATTAGCCAGGCATAATGGCCCACACCTGTAGCCCCAGCTACTCAGGAGGCTGGGGCATGAGAATCACTTGAACCCAGGAGACGAAGGTTGCAATGAGCTAAGATCACACCACTGCACTGCAGCCTGGTGACAGAGCAAGACTCTGTCTCAAATAATAATCATAATAATGAAAGCAAGCTAGAACCACCTTCTGCTGCTGAGTACACACTTACCACGGTGACGCCCCATCTCACAGCCTCTCTTCAGTCCCCCACGGCACAGCCTGACAGGGAGGAGCTGGGAAAGCAGACGTGTCTGCAGGGGCTCAGCTCCAGCCTTGCACAGCAGGGCGTGTTTGTATAGTGAATGATAACCTAAAGAGGGCATCAGGGAGGATCGCAAGCCCACTGTTTTATAGATCGTGGGAAGGGCAGCACAGCACACTTACCATGTACGCGTTCACAGTATGTATCGTCATGGGCTGCAGATAACGACTCTTCTGGTCAAGGATGGACTGCATATACAACAGTGGTCCCGTAAGATTATAACGGAGCTGAAATCTCCCACCCCCCAGTGACGTCGTAGCCATGGTAATGTGATAGTACAATGCATTTTCCTCATGCAAATCTAAGATGAAGAAAAGAAACAGCCCAAGCAAACCACCATGGACATCCTTCTGAAAAGAGTACCATCTCCTGAAGAACAGCCTCAGGCAGGTCCTTCAGGTGTCCGAAAGAAGGCACTGTTCTCATAGGAGATGACAGTTCCAAGCGTGTTCTGGCCCTGAAGGCCTTCCTGTGGGACAAGGTGTGGAGTTGGAAGACAGTGACCTTGATGATCCTGACCCTGTGTGGGCCTGGGTTAATGTGTGTCTTAGTTTTTAACAAATAGTTTAAAATGTAAAAAATAAAACTAGAAACAGTTTAAACAGGAAAAAAGCTTATAGAATAAGGATACAAAGAAAGAAAATACTTCTATATAGCTGTACAATGCTTGTGTTTTAAGCTAAGTGTTATACAGAAAAGTCAAAAAGGTTTTTTAAACTAAAAAAATGTATAAAGTTAAAAAAGTTATGGTAAGCTAAGGTTAATTTACTGTTAACAAAAAGGAAAATATTTTTTAGAAATTTAGTGTAGGCCAGGCACAGTGGCTCACACCGGTAATCCCAGCACTTTGGGAGGCTGAGGTGAGTGGATCATCTGAGGTCAGGAGTTCAAGATCAGCCTGGCCAACATGGTGAAACCCCATCTCTACTAAAAATACAAAAATTAGCTGGACGTGATGGTGAGTGCCTGTAATCCCAGCTATTTGGGAGGCTGAGGCAGGAGAATCATTAGAACCCTGGAGGGGTGGAGGTTGCAGTTAGCCAATATCATGCCATTGCACTCCAGCCTGGGCAACAAAAGCAAAACTCCATCTCAGAATAAAAGAAGGATTCACCTAGGGCTCCTCCACTGCAGCGAGTTCCATTCATGGCAAGTGCCCTATACAGCTGCACCATTTTACCACACCATTTTAAATAATTTTTTACTGTACCCTTCCTACATTTAGATATGTTTAGATACACAAACCCATTACCATCATGTTACAATTGCGTATGGTATCCAGTACAGCAACAGGTTCACAGGTGTGCATCCTAGGAGCAAGAGGCTACACCGTATAGCCTGCCTGTATAGTGGGCTGTCCCCTCTAGGTGTGTCTAAGTGCACTCTGTGACGTTTGCACAGTGTTGAAATTGCCTAATGATGTATTTCTCAGCACATCCTCATGGTTATGAGACTGTAAGTGAATCTCAGCCCCTCCCCTTATTAGCACCAGAGGCAGAGTTGCCATGTCCCTTACTTCCCATCTGTTGTCCCTCATCTGCCGGGAACTCCTTGTTAGGCCACTGGGACTGGTGCAGTGAAGATCACGGTTAGCTCGTTCCTGATCTCTGGGGCAGATTTGGTCTGGGAAGCTGGCGCCACACAGAGGGTGACCTCCAGTCACCAAATATCGCAAAGGAAAAGGACACTGTTCAAAAGATATCCTGTGAAAGCTGGTGCTTTTGCAGTGTCTATGAGGGCTGTACTTGGTGTAGACGCCGGAGGGGAGGAAGTGGCTGTTTTATGTCCCTGCCCTCATCTGGCTCCTGCAAATCATTCTGTACAGCCCCCTTTTAGGGGCTGTTTCTTTGTTAAAGTACAGAGACCAAGAGCTAGAGTTTGGAGCCAGGTCCTCGGGCTCTGATCCTGCTCTAATTTGCTAGTCGTTTCATCTTGGATGAGAATTTAATTTCTACAAGACCCAAGTGACTTTTGTGTTAAATCTCCATAGTACCTCTGAGGGTTATTGTTAGGACCAAATAGGTGTGGCTATGAAGCGCATAGCGCAGTGCCTGTGTGGGGTCAGGGCTTAATAAACGTTAACGATCATTTGCTTGGTTGTGGGGAAGCTGATTAAATTTGCTGCGTGTTGTGGTGTCTTCCTTGATTCCCTCCCACTGCTCGCAGAGCCTTGAGCCAGACCTCAGTGAACACGGCCAGCAGCTGACCCAAGCTATTACAAAGGAGGCCATGGTAGAAGGGATCATGAGTTTCAAGGATACTCCTGATGGAAAGGCAAATCCCTTTCAGGAGGAGACAGACGAAGATGGAAGGCCAGGTGCAGCTGGACCACAGCACTCAGGACAGCTAGGAAAGAATTACCCGGGGCTGGTGGTCCTGACAGAGCCATTTTTATCAGTGGCCAGTGGCCAGGCTGGACCTCCATCCTCCTGGAGCTGGCCCCTCCCCAGAACAGTGGGGATGGTGGACACCAATGTCCTGAGTGGGACCTCACGAAGGTGGGGAAGACAGCTGCAAACCGCAGATGGCCCCAGCAAACCATCAGGGCCCAGCCCATGAGCAGTGCAAAAGCTCTCCTTTCCTGATACAAGACAGAGAGCTTTGAAAAGCCCACCTGCTCCCCTCCTCTGATCCCATCCCCTGGCCACTAACCACATCGCTGCTTGCCAATCACTTTCACTCAGCATCCGAGCTGTGGACTCAGTCTTTACTTTCTCTTTAATAGAAACATGGCAGAGTGTTGTCTCTACAGCCTCTTTGGCTATGAGCAAGGAACTGTGAATCCAACAGCCAACATAGAAGCAAAAATGCTCCCCATGGGAAGTAGAGACAAAAGAACAGGCTTTTATCAAGAATTGATCCCTACAATCTGGTCTGATGTTAATACAGACTCAGAAACATCTTCCACTAGTCTTTCACCACCGTGCAATGAAAATCTCAAACTGATCATGGCCTCCAGAGGGCTCAGATCACTCATCAGGAGAGAATTCTCTCCTTGGTACATCGTCTTTAGGCGGGAGATCTCTGCATTTTGTTCAACATATTCTACAAGATCTGAAAGGAGGGCTTTGGATGGTTCACACCAGTCACCCTATAGAGAGGCCCTGCAGCAAACGCTCCAGCCTTCTCCAGGTGCACCATCTAATAATGGCGGTTGCTGCAATCTGGCATGGGAACCGGATTATAGTAATTTGAGCAATTTCTTCTGTTCATGATTCATATAAATTTCTAACCGGATAAAATATTAGCAGTCAGGCATGAACGAACGTGTTTTACAAACATTTGATTTGCATACTAGAGGCTAAAAGTCAGTGAATGTCTGTCATTTCTTAGTGGGGTATAAACAAATTTTGGTACTGAAATCGAAGCAAAATAATTCATTAATTGCCACTTCTTTCTTCTCATATGCGGCATGTTTCTTGCTCTAGATAGCATATGCAGGGTGTTGTATATAACATATAAGTGACACCCGGGAGGTGTTAAATATGTATTGAGTGATAAAAGCCATGAGGCTGGCTCAGCTTATGAAAACATTAATAAAACCCTGGCCGGGCGCGGTGGCTCAAGCCTGTAATCCCAGCACTTTGGGAGGCCGAGGCGGGTGGATCACGAGGTCAAGAGATCGAGACCATCCTGGTCAACATGGTGAAACCCCGTCTCTACTAAAAATACAAAAATTAGCTGGGCATGGTGGCGCGTGCCTGTAATCCCAGCTGCTGAGGAGGCTGAGGCAGGAGAATTGCCTGAACCCAGGAGGCGGAGGTTGCGGTGAGCCGAGATCACGCCATGGCATTCCAGCCTGGGTAACAAGAGCGAAACTCCATCTCAAAAAATAATAATAAATAAATAAAATCCTCAGTTGGGGGTTGAATTAATATTATGATAACATCGTTCTCCAACCAGGGTATGAAGAATCCTGGGAGAGTCAGGTAGTAATTGAAGGCACCAGAAAAATGTGGCACGTCTTCTTCAAACTTCACTGTATTGAAGAGGGTGAACTTTTAAACAGTAAGACACACGCGATTTATGGAGGAAAAGTTTTCACACGGATTTTCAGGCAGAACAGACTTAAACTTCTACCCTCGACTCTAGTGTCACCTCTCCAGACTCCTCCTGTTGGCATATTTCCTCTCTGCCATGGGGTACTTAATAAAGTTTTTAAAACACTTCCCTGATTAAAACAATAGAAGGCAATAGCATGTGTTGTTCTCTCTGATTTCAAGTAGTCATGGAGGAAGGTAGCTTGAGTAAGTGAACAGTCTGTATTTTAAAATACTCGTGGGTCAGGAGGCTGAGGCAGGAAAATTGCCTGAACCCAGGAGGTGGAGGTTGCGGTGAGCCGAGATTGCGCCATTGCACTCCAGCCTGGGTAACAAGAGTGAAACTCCGTCTCAAAAAATAAATAAATAAAAATAAAATAAAATACTCGTGGGCTTAGCACTTCCAGTGATATATACAGAAGACAAATCTGAGGATGTTTCTAAATGAATTCTTCAATTCCTATCACGACATTTCTCGAGGAATCTGCTTGAATGCATAAAGATCTGCATTTAGCATCTTGTGACTTGACAGGTGTCTAACATTTGTTTTCTCACATTCTTTCGATAAAGCCAGTATTTGCAATAAAGGCAAGACTAAACTTCAAGCCAAGATCACATATAAATGATTGCAAATTTCCTGTCTGAACTCTCAATTGATATTATTTATTATATACAATACATTGCATGAATTACAATAACTCAGAGATTATGATAATGTATAATTCTTTAATTCATGCATTTAAAGAGTCAGGGACATAGCAGACCACAGGCAGTTTTATTGCCTAGGATTTTAAAAAAATTTTTGTATAATGGCACTGGTTTTATATGATCATACAAATGCTGCGTCATCATCAACTGGCTCGCCAAGTATACTGTCCATTTGTAGACAACCGAGGCTGCAGCTCATCACCGTTCTACCTTTTCCATTATTTACTTATGTTGGCCTCCTAGCAGGCATTCACATACCAACAAAAAATAGCAGTTAGCAAATTCATCAAGGAGGCCCCCGAAGTGCCTGTGTTTGGGGCCTTCATAGTCATTGATCATGAAACGCTCAACCTTATTGCAGCTGAGCTATAATCTCATGATGTGAGGACAAAGGTCTTTGCCTAGAAACACTTAAATATATTCCACACACATGAAACCAGTAGCAAAGAAGGAAGTCTGACAGACTGTGTGAAACCAGGAGACCTTTCTACTGTTTATAAATTGTTGCTTCAAAATGGAAGGAAGGAGTTGACCCTCAGTGCCTGTTTCATGTGAAGGGATTGCATTTTGGAGTAAACTAGCCAGCTAGAATGTTTGCCTCTTTCATAGTTTTCTCTCTCTCTCTCTCTCTCTCTCTCTCTCTCTCTCTCTCTCTCTCTCTCTCTCCTCTGTGTGTGTGTGTGTGTGCGCGCGTGGTTGCCACAAACAAAACCTTAAAGCTAATATTCCCTGCCCTCATGGATAGGACTATGCACTTTAATATATTTGGAGACAGTGCTTTGTGGTCAACTCTTGGGGCATACCCCATTGGTATTAGGGTATGTGTACTAGGACCACAGAGGAGAATATTTGAAATGGGGACTGTGCCAGAAAGCATGGAACTATGGTCTCCTACCCCCAGATGTCTACATCATGACTTGTTCATTCTTTTCTATCCATTCTCAACCTGCCCATATTGTTTTACCTCCTTCTCCTCATCTGCCCTGTTTGCCTTCTGTAGGACAATGTCCATCACCATGCCAAGTGAATAGGGGAGGAAAGGACACTTTGTGGGCAAAGTCCGTGGCTGTCAGCGCAGAGGAAGGGATAGTAGGTAAGCGAGATACATGACATCATCAAAACTGCTGTGAGGATTCATATTCCCAGTGAGGAGGTGGAAAAGGCCAGTGCAGTTCTGGAGATGACCCTGGAGAATGGTGAGGATTCATCTCTCCACGTGGCTGTTGGGTGGGGATGGGAAATGGATGAACTGGGAATTCCAATGAAGTATGGGAAGAAAGTACCTTTGATCCTAGTCCTCTCGCTCAGTGTTGCCTAGAAAAGAAGTTCTTGAAGGCGCTGTTGTAGTTCTTGTTGAAGGCCGTATAGATCAGGGGATTAAAGAAGGAGTTGGAATAGCCAAGCCACAGGAAGATGCTTTTCCAGATGGCGGGGATGTCACAGGAGCAGAGGGGACTGATGAGCTCCGTGAGAAAGAAGGGGATCCAGCAGAGTGCGAACACACCAATGAGGATGCCCACCATGAGGGCAGCCCGCTGCTCCTTCTGCTCGCGCCACGTGTCCCCTTCTGTCTGGAAGGTGACGGTGGCATGGCGGACCGTGAACACCATCTGGGGCTGTTTGGTGGGGTCCTTCACCTGTAAAAGACAAGCAGGAGTTTTAGGAGGAGCCAAGTCTGTCTACCTGCCAGACTGAACCCAGACACTGACAGGCCTGGACTCCGCACATCCAGTTCCAGGGAAGGTCCCAACCGATAGGTGTGGGAGCCTGAAGGCCTGTGGCACACACCGTCAGACATGGGAACCAGGCACTGGAGCTGGGGTGTTTGCTTATGTCTTAGAAATGAAAGAACCAGATGTGATAGAATTGACGTCATGAAAATGGACTCCCTATTGTTGTCTGTTCAACAGAGGCAGTGGCATAAACGAGCAGGTGACATGGCATGCATGACTTAGTGGCAGAGTTGTCTTTTCAACAGAGGCGGTGGCATAAACGAGCAGGTGACTTAGTGGTAGAGGTACACACGCCATCAAAAGTGTGCTAGATTGTACCCTTAGGATCACATTTCCTACCATCTTTATAACCTTCTGGGCTCGTGTAAGTCCCCTCTATAATGTTTAAACTTTCTAGAACTTTTCCTCTGTCATAAAGATCCTACTGCTGTGCTCTGTAGCGTGTTCTGTTTGAGGCAGTCCAGTGGCCAGGACACTTCTCTCTGGGTCTATTCTGTGTCTTCCTCTATGTCCCTATATTTATGTAAAACAGATACCCCAGTCTTTTAGAGTCTCCCCTTGGGTGCCCCCAAGGCCTCCACAGGGTAGGTTCCCACAGAATCAGGCCCTCCAGTTCACTTCTTTCTCTCAAGGAGTGGAATTCCTGGGAAGGGAAGCTCTTCCTCCATTCCGGTCCTATTTTTAGCTGTTGGGAGAACTGATATGCTGAGTGTGTACTGATGAGGCAGCCTAAACATGAAGCAACTGTAAATTCACTGCATCAGGAAATTCCTCCATCCAATCAAAATGTGGGACCATTTTGGAGCCAGTCATTCTCTGGCAGGTGAGAGTGCATTGACATTAAATTGTACTCTTCCCTCTCCACCATACTGTGACTCCAGTACCTTCAAATGATTCACACAGCCTGTTCTCAAAGAGCATACTCTCTTTTAGGCAAAGAACTTTCAGGTCAATCGAACTCACTTAACTCATTCTTGGCCGCATTTATAAAGTGGACTCAAGAGGAACTGACTTACAATCATATGAAATAACAGGTGGAAACAGGAACACCGTGGTTAAGGCAATGTTACTTGATGAATAAATCACCAAATTTGTAGAATAGGCTTGTTGACATTTATTTGCAAAACAGTATAACATCAAGTACTATACACTAAATTAAATTTAAAAGAAGACAGATAATAAAACAAATAGTCCATAATAAGGCAACCTTTAAAAACACATATAAAATAAGCACTGAAAATCTCTCTGTACCTCTTGATGTAACTCTGTAACCAGAGTTACCTTTGGTTACTGATTTATCAATACATATCTGGAAATGCATTTGAGGGGATTCATTTATAGAAATCCAAACCATAATTAGCTTAATTTTTCAGCATAAAAGAAAGAGGGAAAGCTACCCATTTTCTTAAGAGAATTCAACCCCACGGTAACATCATGGAAGCTGTTTTCCCTATTGTCTCCAAATGGCAATAAAACAGGAATCTAGCTGGACTCTTCAACCCTCTGGAAATTCTCCTTCTTGGCACATTTTTATGAGTGACAATGGGGACACTGGTCACATTGTGATCACATAAAGAATGCTGGTTGCACTGAAGATGCTGCCTATACTGGAAACACCATGGATTCTGGTCATACTAGAGATGCTGTTCACACTGGGAATGCTGGTTACACAGGAGATGCTGTTCACACTGGTGATACCATGGATGCTCATTACACTGTCGATGCTGGTCATACTGGATATACCATGGATGCTGGTCACACTGTGGATGCTGGTCACACTGGAGACACCATGGATGCTGGTCACGCTGGAGATACCATGGAAGCTGGTCACACTGTGGATGCTGGTCACACTGGAGATACCATGGATGCTGGTCACACTGTGGATGCTGTTCACACTGGAGACACCATGGATGCTGTTCACTGTGGATGCTGGTCACACTGGAGACACCATGGATGCTGTTCACACTGTGGATGCTGGTCACACTGTGGATGCTGTTTGCACTGTGGATGCTGTTCACACTGTGGATGCTGGTCACACTGGAGACACCATGGATGCTGTTCACACTGCGGATGCTGTTCACACTGTGGATGCTGTTTGCACTGTGGATGCTGTTCACACTGTGGATGCTGGTCACACTGGAGACACCATGGATGCTGTTCACACTGCAGATGCTGTTCACACTGTGGATGCTGGTCACACTGGAGATACCATGGATGCTGTTCACACTGTGGATGCTGGTCACACTGGAGACACCATGGATGCTGTTCACACTGCAGATGCTGTTCACACTGTGGATGCTGGTCACACTGGAGATACCATGGATGCTGGTCACACTGGTGATGTCAGTGACACTTAGTGCTTGATTTAGACATTTTTCTCAGTTTAGTCATAGAACTCCAAGTTGTTCAGAAAAGAATATTTTTCTATCACCTTGTGAAATGTTGATTATTTTACTGGGCCATCTTTGGTGCTGCATTCAGCATCAACTGGCTTGATAGAAGAAAGCATGACATTGATTTAAAATGGTACCTCTGGGACAATAAAGGCTCCAGCTGCTAGGAGGATCTTTGTTGCTTGTGGAGTTTCAGGTTTCTGATGCCCTCAAATGGTGAATTTGTTTGCTTACTCTATGGCGCTCTGGTTTATTGACTCCTTAGCTCTTTGCTGTCTTCTAATCAATGGTTGCAATAAAGCAATTAATTGAGTCTGAAAATAATGCTCTGTTAATTACTGTACCAAACCTGGTCATTAGTAAACTCACAGAAAGAGAGGAAGTAGGGTTAAAAAGTGAACAGTTAAGCCAAATTAATTTTTCCTAATAATCTCTGAAATGCATGTAAAGCACATACCTCACAACTTAAGATTCATTTATAAATTTTTTTCTAAATGAACACTTAGCCTCATCTCCCTCAGCAAACAAGTTCGGAGACAGGTGCATATGTGTTAGAGCTTTCATTCTTCCAAAAGGATTGTGTGCTAAATAATTATTTACCGGTTAATCATAAATATGATATGTTCTTTTATTTCATCCAACCACTCTGCTTTGCCTCTCTAATAATCAATGGATTACCGCCAATAATGGGTATTGGAAATAAGGGACAAAGACTCCTACCTTGGAAGTGTGGTTTCAGGCGATTTGCAAGTTAGACCACAGAATAAAAATGTTTAATTAAAAACGGTCTTACACATTAAGGAAGGCTCCATGAGGGTGTGAATAAAAATGGCCCCACAAACTTAGGACAAAACTAATTGTTCTACAACTGTAATAACAAACGGGCTTTTTTTCTTGCTTCAACCTCTTCAATTGATCAAGGACAGTGCCATTTTGTGAATACACACTTGTAAACCAATTAATCTGTGTCAGCCCTCGCTTCTGAAAGTCAGCCATTTAGGGTCAGACTCAACCTAATAAACACAGCTCTGAGCATCAATCATCCAATGGTAAACCGCATTCTGAGTAAACCCCATTCTGCAGCTGATGTCAGTCTGCTGCTCCTCAAGTGTCCTCCAGTGTCTGAACCGAGACCACCCCAACTCATGGATGACTGGCACCCCGCTCTGCTCTGGGAGATTGTTGTCAAGCATTGCTTCCTCTCACTATTCTGAGTCAAAGATTCAGCTTTGTATATTTCAGATTCTGAACAGTAGTGGCATCACCCATGGACAGTTCTGGAGGTCATTTCGAAGACTCCCTGGGGTCCTTGGACCACAAGCGCATTCACTGGGCCCCAAACTCAGTTGCCCTTTGCATCTGCAGCCAAGTGCCTCAATCTCAACAAGGATTTGAGTTCTGCCTCATTTCACTGGGCTCTGAATGCCCAATGGATTTTGTTATCCTAAGATTCGTGACAGCTGGGTCCTTGGATAAGGTTGCAAGGCTGAGGTGTTTGCATGATGTAACTAGATCTTTGACTGAGAGATCTACCATTAGGTAATTGTCTTAGATCGATGTATAAAGCTTTCAACCTCTTGCCATGAAGCTGTATCATTTGGCAAACATTGTCACGCCATTGTTGTACTCATCCTACAGCCGCTTGCTTTGCTTTTGTGTTGTCTACATGTACAAAGCCTTGCTGCATGGGGTTTTGCTTTGTCCTGCAATGCCTTCTTCTGTTGAATACAGAAGGAACTATTCTGTAAGGCATTGGCTTGTTATATTTCCAAGGTAATCCAAGCAGGACCTGAGCGCTCATGATTTGAAGACCATTATTAGGCCAGTGTCCAATTTATGAAAAAGCAATTGATCAAACTTTGCTTGTGGTCCCCTACAAAACTTTTATGAGGGCACTCCTGACTTGTCGAGTGATGGAAATATATCACTTGGCTCCATCGTTTTCCAGCTTAATGACAGTTGTGTGGACAATTGTGTGTCCCCTTCTGCCATCTGTTTAGTCCTGGATCCTGAGACTATTCACAAGCACGAACTGTTGACCAATCACAGTCACCTTCTCGTGTTCTCCTGTGCCATGGCCCGCCTATGTCAAAATCCCAATCCTCTTTTTTTTTTTTTTTTTTTTTTTTTTTTGAGACGGAGTTTCACTCGTTACCCAGGCTGGAGTGCAATGGCGCGATCTCGGCTCACCTCAACCTCCGCCTCCTGGGTTCAGGCAATTCTCCTGCCTCAGCCTCCCGAGTAGCTGTGATTACAGGCGCGCGCCACCGTGCCCAGCTAATTTTTTGTATTTTGAGTAGAGACGGGGTTTCACCATGTTGACCAGGATGGTCTCAATCTCTTGACCTCGTGATCCACCCGCCTCGGCCTCCCAAAGTGCTGGGATTACAGGCTTGAGCCACCGCGCCCGGCCCCCAATCCTCTTTTTTAAGAACTATTTCCTCTTTAAAATTGCATTATAATCCTAGCTCTTGCACTTTTCTTCACAAATGCCAAACTTTTTTTTTACTT